ATCTCTTCCTGCAGGTTCGCTGTGCTCACAGGTGGCTCTGGGCATTGAACATTTGTCCAACAACCGCTTTTGGTGCAACAATGATCATGGCTTGCACTAATTGTCTGGTCGCGCCCAGCGGTGGTGAAAGTCTCTGCTTGTGTGGGTGAACAAGGAAGTATATAACAGGTGAGTAATAAAGGAAGCAGAGGGCTTTAGTAAATGTTTAGCTAGAGGTTTGCTGTTTCTGGGGGGGGGGGGGGCCAGAGATTCATGTGGCTGAGAGGAGCAATATATACAAATACTGTAACGTCAGTCCACTGGGGCAGATTGCGACGACGGTGTTAATGTTGGGGGGGTGGGTAGGGTCAGAGATTCATATGTTGGCCTGTTGAGGATACATATCCAAACTGTAGACTGTCAAGTCTCTGGGGACAGTTATGGGTTGTTGATGGGGCAGAATGAATTGTTCATTCTGCATATGTCTCAGTCCTCCTGACCTTCTCTTGTGCTGCAGTGTAAACTACCGGACCTCCCACCGGACAGGCCTGGGTGCCCCTACGCTGGATGACACCCAGTAGCGTGCCGTACAGGAAGATGACTTTTCGCCAACCAGATATCTGACATCTTGTTCATTCGGAGGTGCTGATTTGGGCAAAGTCTTCAGTGTTGGGGGAGAGTGCCCCTATAACCGCCATGGCTGATGAACGATAGCCAACTGGTGCTATCCGGTACAGCCATGCGTTCCTCCTCCATCTTTCATACTCTCACACTTTCATAGTCCAGATCAGGCCATCCCTCGCTAAGTCTTCATCCTCCCCTTTCCTGGCCAGATCAGCCATCCCTCAATCTTCATCCTCACCTTTCCTGCCAGATCAGCCATCCCTCAATCTTCATCCTCCCCTTTACATGGCCAGATCAGCCATTCCATCAAATCTTTCTATTTTCTTCACCTTTCTTTTCCTGGGCCTATCTATAAGGTAGCCATCTCCATCTTTTTGTGTTGTCATTCCAGGTTTACAAGACACGGCTCCATGATGCTTTCAGCCCGGGGTGGTAATTGTTCTTCCCCGTTTTCTACAGCTGAAGCAGCGCTGCTGGGGCTTCGACCCCCAAAATTTTTTTTTTCCCCCCTTCATTCAGTGAAATTGAAAAATTTATTTCTCGGGGGACCCCCCTTTGCGGCGGGAAAAAGGTGTGGACCCCTGTTTAGGGGGCCCCGTGGAAAAGGGCCAGGGCCCGCTCGGGAAAAGGGGCCAGAAACAACTTTTGGATTTTTTACGCTGAAAAATAGGTAAAAGGGCGGCATTAAAGCCCGCGTGTCGGGTTTGTTTGCGTCAGGAACTACGGCCTCTGTGGGGTGAGAACTTCCCTTTCCCCAAAAGCTCAAAAGACCGGGACTCCTTTCCTCTGTGACACTCATTTTAACCCCAACGGGGACTTTTAAATTGTGTTTCCCTACCCGGGGTTTTTTTTGGGGAATGTTAGTGGGGTACTTTAATTATTAAAACCTAATTTTTCTTTTTTTTTTGGTTCTGGGAATCGGGTATTTATTAACTATAGTTTAACGCCCCCAAGGGGGACTAGTAGGGAAGTCCACAATCGGTTCTTCATCCACAGATCCCAGTCTTGCTGTTCTATCACATATCACTCGTTAATTAACCTAAAAGCACTTGGACTATGGTAACGTACCAGTCATAGACTTCTATGAACACTACTGGGATTTCCCATCGGCGAGAAATAAGGGAACATCATATCACCAAAAACTTGCTTGAAACTCTCTGTTATGACTTGATAAATAGGAATGTTAATATTCAGTCCTGTAACCCCATATGTTTCATTATGTCTTTGCGCTATGAAGGCCTAGAACTGTTCTGAGGAGCTGCAACATTACAGGTGTATCCATGGTTGGTTCCAGGTGCTCAATGAATGGGTGCAGTTCCTGGGGCCATTGCTCAGACATTTGAGCTTCTTTGCTTTGCTTGTTGTTGTTGTTGTGTTCTTGTATTATTTGATGAGTGTCTTCCATGTATCCTCACACTCTAAGTGTGCTTGCGGAATGAAGGAACCCTGAACTGGGCAATATACCACTCGGCCTTAATACATTCAGGGGACCTTCTTTTTTTTTTTTTTTTTTTTTTTTTTTTATTATTCATCAATAAATTTTTTTTTTTATCTGATTTTTGTTTTTATATGTTTTGGTTACAAATTGTAGATTTTTACTTTTTAAATGAATTGGGACCTGAGTGCTGTTCATGGGTTCAGACTGCTGTTTTTGTGTCTCTTTTTGTTTTTTTTAAACTGTTGCACACCAATAAATAGCCTTTTTATACTGTATTCAGTGTGCTGGTTTATTCTCGTGCTCGATGGGGTTGAGGTTAATAGATCTTTTGAATGTTTATGGTGGGAGGAAAATGACTTTGGAGCTATTGCTGAACTTTAGGCAGTAGCTAAACCATAAGGGCCCTTTCAGAGTGAGCGGGCGGGCAACATGGACGGACAGGTCTGCGTCCATTCATTTTAAGCAGAGCGGCGGGCAAAATGACAGACAGGTGTCTTGTTGTCCACTCATTTTCAGCAGAGCGGGGCAAATGACGACAGGCTCTGCGTCCACTCCATTTTCAGCAGAGCGGGGCACAAATGACAGGCCGTCTGCATTCATTTCTTCAGCAGAGCGGATCGGGGCTTATGACGACAGGTCTGCGTCCACTCATTTTCAGCAGAGCGGAGGCAAATGACGACAGGTCTGCGCCCACTCATTTTCAGCAGAGAGGACACAGACAGACCTCGCTCTGCTCTATGGATGGCTGGAGAGGAAAATGGACTCTGCTGTCCATTTACATTGTCTACCTCTGATCTGGTATGCACAAAACACCCCCCGAAGAGGACACCGTTCTTCCATTTTTTGTTGTTTTTTTTGGGGGGGGGGGGGGTGGTCCTGACTGGACCAGGTGGTAGGCGGGTGTAAAACTGACACAAGTCCATTTACACCGCCTATCCATAGGAATGCATGGACCTTTTTGATCAGATCCACCTGAAAAACTGACAGGTGGTGATCGGCTTGCCCGTGTGAAAAGGGGCTTAACCCAATACACGCCCGGGCCAAAAGGCGACTGGCAAAATGTATTGGATTTCCGGGTTTGGACGCCAAATGGGCACTTTTCTCGCTTGCAGAGCCACGCAGCGGCGCGATCTGTCACGGGGTCTGTGTACCTCGGACACGGCCGATGACAGATCTGAGTATCAGCCCCGTTGCCGGTACCATGTGACCTGCTGTGACCAATCACAGCAGATCACATGACAGTTGTATACAATGGATGGCTTCATTCATGCCATCCATAGTATCCTAGTGTCTAGCTGTGAATGGTCACAGCGATCACATGCACATGTCATGTGATTAGCTGTGGCCGAATCACAGCTAAGCGCAAAAAAAAAAAAAAAAAAAACCCTGAATGAATCGATGTCATTCAGGTAAATGCTTATAGCAAAGAATTACTTTGCTATAAGCAAGCAAATTGTGTAAAAAAAATTAAAATACTGATCACTTCCCCAAAGTAGTACATACTGTCACTTCCCCAAAGTAGTACAATGTTACTATGGTAACATTGTACTACTTTGGACATAGTGAAATATGAAAAAAAATCTTAAAAAAAAGTAATACAAAATTAAAAATAATAAAATAAAAAAAAAAATTAAAAAATATATATTTTTTTTTTCATACTGTCACCAGTGTCCCTGATTACCGCCATGCCAGTTATATGAAGACGCTGTACTGCACTGGTGTGACAGTATGTAAAAAAAAATAGTGAATATCATTTTTTGCATTTTTCATTTTCCGAAAAATTTTATGACCGAAAAAATACTTCAAAAAACTCGCCATGCCTCTTATGAAGTACGTCGGACTGTCTACTCTGCAAAAAGGGGTCATTTGGGGGATATTTGTACTGTTCTGACATTTGGGGGATATCTGTACCGTCCTGACATTTGTGGGATATCTGTACCGTCCTGACATTTGGGGATATCTGTACCGTCCTGACATTTGGGGGATATCTGTACCGTCTGACATTTGGGGGATATCTGTACCGTCCTGACATTTGGGGGATATCTGTACCGTCCTGACATTTGGGGGATATCTGTACCGTCCTGACATTTGGGGGATATCTGTACCGTCCTGACATTTGGGGGATATCTGTACCGTCCTGACATTTGGGGGATATCTGTACCGTTCTGACATTTGGGGGATATCTGTACCGTCTGACATTTGGGGGATATCTGTACCGTTCTGACATTTGGGGGATATCTGTACCGTCCTGACATTTGGGGACATTTGGGGGGGATCTCTGTACCAGTACCGTTTGGGGGATATCTGACGTTGACCATTGGGGGACCTCACATTCTTGGACCTCAATTAGATTGGCTGTCAGTACTTCAGGATTGATCAATATTCAGATCTATACCATAGTTTGTGAACTCTATAACTTTCCTACAAACTAAATAATACATCCTAATTTGGGTTATTTTCACCAGACATGTAGCAGAATACATCTCGGCCTAAATTTGTGAAGAGCAATTATTTATTTGCAAACTTTTATAACGGAAACAAAGAAAAACGTGTGGTTTTTTTTTTCTCTTTTTTCAAAATGTTCGGTCTTTTTTTATTTAGTAAAAAATAAAAACCCCAGCGGGGTGATTTAAATACCACCAAAAGAAAGCTCTAGTTGTGTGAAGAAAATGATAAAATTTTAGTTTGGGTACAATGTTGTATGACCGCGCAATTGTCATTCAAAATGTGAGAGCGCTGAGACCTGAAAAATGGCCTGGGCAGGAAGGTGTAAAATTGCCCGGTATGGAAATGGTTAAGATACACACAACATACCTGTTTTTAGCTGCCACAAGAGACTGTCCATCCAGTCCTAAGAATCACACAGCCAGATTGGTGACCCGTCTTCTGCAGATAAACAAAACCGTATGGTCGCCACCTTGCCCCCGCCAGTGACCGTAGAAATAACACATCTCAATGTAATCCCTGTCCACACACGTGATCGGTCCTTAGTGATGCCCCTCTGTCTCGGAGTGCTGCTGCCCATAGGAATATATAAAAGAGTAAAGCGAGCGCTTTTTGATATAGTAAGAAAAGCAGCTTGCATAAGGATAACCCCTAAAATCCTGCAACATAAATAAAATCAAGAATGCAGCGCTCTATTGGATAATAAAGTGAAATAGTGACATGAATTGCGCAATGTTATGCGCTAATAGGTGAAACGTGGTGTCTTAATGAAGACAATAATCAATATAAAGTGACATAATCATCTCATACTGACACAATAAATGTATAAAAGTCCTCAAAATATTCAAAGGTGTGTCAGATATTCCCAAGTATGGAAGGTTTCAATGATTCTCATAAAACTTTCGTTAATGGTAGTAAGGTGCTCGTGACTTCCGTGATGAGGAAAAAAAACATTGATGAACGTTTTATGAGAATCATTGAAACCTTCCATACTTTGAATATTTTGAGGACATTTATCCATTTATTGTGTCATTATGAGATGATTATTTATGTCACTTTATATTGATTGTCTTCATTAAGACACCACATATGTTTCACCTATTGGCACATAACATTGTGCAATTTAAGTATTTGAATCTGTCCTTACATTGCCCTCCTATATTCCTATGGCATAAAGTATAGCTAAAGGCTCCTGTATGACAATCCAAACAGGTCCCAGATCCAGTTACTGTGAGATGCACAAGCCTCAAAGTGGAAAAAAAAAAATAAAAACTTCCTCTACCTTCCCTGACGGAGTCAGATCCGCTTTATTTTGTATCTCAAACACTTCCCCCCCCCCCCCCCCCCCCCAGACACTGCAGCTCCCAGAGGCAGTGCTGTCAATCCAGGAACAGTGGGTGGGGCTAGGTGCCGATTATTGTGTTCTGTCCCCTAGGGTCCTCCCTTCCACATGCTGTGAAAGGCTAGTGATGTGGTCAGGCAGAGACTAAAGTCACAATCTCACTTTAGTGTAGCACAAGGAAAGGGCCTTTGCAGGCTAAGGCCACCAAATCAGGAACGTACCAGGCCGAGGGCAATGAGATAGATTAACCTTGTGAGTAACAGTATACAGAAGATATGCCTGATGGGTTCAAAAGGCGGTTTCTCAAGAACCAACAGAACTAGATTAAGATCACATTATTCCTCCTGTTTT